GCCTTCGTCTCACCCTGTGGCTGTGTTGGCCGCGGCGGCGAAAAACACCGACGGCCTCCCCCTCGTTCCCGGTTTTTATCCCGAGACCTTCGACCACGTCCTCCTCGATCCCCCCTGCTCTGCCTTGGGCCTCCGACCGCGGTTCTCCCTCCCCGTGCGGGGCCAAGACTTGGACGCGTTCGTGGCGTTCCAACGGAAGTTTTGGTGGGCGGCGGTGTTTTTGTTGCGAGTGGGGGGGAGCATGACCTATTCCACCTGTACCCTCAATCCTCAGGAAAACGAGGACATGGTTCGGTACGCCCTCGACACGTACTCGGTCTTGCAACTGGTGCCGGCTGAGCCACGCCTGGGGGCTCCGGGAGGGGGAAAGGCTCTGTCGGACGAAGAGAGGGGCAAGGTACAGCTTTTCTTGCCGGGGGGGGGAGGGAGGGAGGGCGGATGGGAGGAAGGGGAAGAGGGAGACTTGGACGTGAGTGGTTTCTTTGTCGCAAAATTTGTCAAAGTGGCGAGTGTTTTTGAGGGAAAGGATGGGGAAGCTAAGGGGACAGCCTGGCAAGACGAGCGGAATGACCGGGACAGCGGGTGGAAGAGAAGGGGTCCCCAAGGGGAGGAGGAGGAAGGATAAGCCGGAGGGTGGCCCAGCACCGGCCTCAAAGCATGTAAACGGAGGTGAATTTTGCAATAAGAAAGTATGGACCAGGAGAAAGAGAGACAAAGGACAGAGCTATCACTTCTTCCTCCTTCTTCTCCCTGCCCCCTCCGTGATAAGCCTCCTGCGGCTACGGCAGCCCCTGCACGCTCATCTGCTCAGCAGATTGATCCATCCTCCCCCTCAGAGCCAGCGGTGCAATTTTCCAGCGTTCACAGTGTCTGGATTCCGCTGGACCCTGACTCCGACGATGCGAAGACTCTGTCTGGGAGCGTTCCCAAATCCTCCCCCGAACATGACGATAACAGACAGAAAAAAATACCTGGAAACGCACAGGCACAAAGAATCGCCAAGGTATCTAACGGTGCCTCCAAAGTTCTTGATTTAATATATAAAGGATGTACTCAATTATCTGACATGGATGTACTGAAATATCTGACATGGATGTCTCAACTATCTGACATTTTTCCTAATCGATGTATTTTATCTTTGATACAGACTGTACGTTTGCTGTTCTCTGCCCTTATCCACACCCTTCTCGACCCCCTCTCCGTCCTACCTTCCCTTGTAATTTTCCCTCCGGCAGCACAAACCACACGCGGTTTCTTCACCAGATTTTTCTCACAGATATCTCACCGCGACATTCACCGCCTTTGTCACTCCACTTCCATCCCACCCCTCCCCATCTCCAGGCTGTTATTATTGATATACAAATTAGTGCGGCTACTCTAACCCTATCCATGCTTTCCTCCCGTCCATCCCATCCAAGCTTCCCTCCTTCCCGACCCACTTCCCGCCTCGTTCTCTCTTTCCCCCCCCTTCGTCCGAGCGTCGAATTCACCATTCTCAGACAACGACTGGACCATACATTCGTTCGCGAAAGAATCCATTCCACTGCCCATCCTCCCTCCTCTCTTATCCCTTTCCCGCTTCAACGATATCTCCGTAAATATGCCGAGTTCGGTCCCTGTGATTTCCCTCCCTTCTCTCCTCCTCTCCCTCCTCTCCTCCCCTCCCTCCTTCCCCCGAACCCTTGGCTCTCCCCCCACGCCTTCCCTCCCTTTGTTCCTCCCCTACCACAGCCCTCTTTC